TAGAAGAACCTCTCGATCTTGAGAGTCGGACCTTCTCGTAGCGGTTCGGAATCACGGGATAGTCAACCTCGGGCAAGGCTCAAGTCACGGGATTCGGCCATACTGGGCCCAATCCAGCCAATCATTCCGACCGTATTACCACACGGAAGATTCTTCTTCCATTCCATCACCGCTCGCAGTTTCCGGGCTTCCCTTTTTTGTGTGCAAATTTCCCATCCTCTTCTCTTCCTTTTTCCTCTTCTACTGAAGGGTCTCAGCCCACGTCGTCTACCGTCTGGAATGATGTTGACGTGCCAAGCAGAATCTCACTGGTTTCGGCATTCTGTCGCGACCGCAGAGGTTATTCAAGAGATACCTGAGAAGGAGATGTTCGTCCCGTCGTTAATCGCCCATTCTTCTCTGTCCATGAGACTAAAGGGTTTCATATCAGGGTTACATAATACTGTCACGTAGCTTAGATTTGCCGAAAATCTCAGTAGGCCTGGAGTGACACTGTCGATGAACTTCCTCAGTCAATCCAGCAGATATACCTACATTTAGCAGCTGTATTCCTTCGCTATCGGAACCAACGATCAAAACAAGCATTCGGCTGAAGTACGGTAATGCAGTTACTACTAGCATTGACCTGATGTTCCATGATGAACTTACCCAAGGCATTATTGCCCCAGGTAGACTTCCCGTTTGCTTGGGCAGACATCCTCCCATGGTCGTTGGATCTCGTTTGGACGCTTCCGAATGTTGAGATGAAGCTCATAAAAGCTTTGCATTAGTATCAGCCAACCAGCTTCTAAATTTCTGTTCACTATTATGGAGTGATCAACCACAGCGCGTTCAGAACAGCACGTCAATTACAAGACATGAGCTGACCTTGGATACCAATTACAAAGCTTTTGGCTCGGGATCAATCTACCTGGCCCTCTTAGCAGAATCACCAGATTCAAGACGACAAGATGCAAGTTGCAGAGTCGCCCCTAGTCAAACGCAGGATTCGGTACATGTCATTGCGCCTATTCAATGCCAATTGGGAAATTTTCACAGCATGATTGGTTCACCTGACCTTCGATCTTTATGTGCTCATATTCCTCTGCTTCACGAGGTAGATGAGATGAGAGACCGCTATCCGACAGATGAGGCTAAAGAAACTTGTGGTCTTGAGCGTCTTCCGTGTCTTGTTCCAGCAGATGTCGCGAATGATGCTCTTTGATTGTTTGAGCGATCTTCTTGTCATTTGTGGCCGTTACCTTTATCTGCGCCTTCTGCAGTGCGAGTCTTGAACGGGTGGTTGGCCCTCACGGTTCAATTTTATCCACAATGTGACGCGGACGAGTACATGGCTCTATATGTCCAATCATGGGCCCGGTGCTGAACTCTTCGATGCCGTCTGTCGCTGTGGACACCGTCTCTTCTTAGGCTGTCTGTACAAATTCTATCCGAGGGCTGGCCCGGCCCTCATCGCGTCACCACCGTCACGGAGGGGAACCCAACTGGAAAAGAATGGGTGCAACTGGGATGATTCATCTAGTCATTCGCCGCCACTCTTGTGAGGTGTTGTCATTGAAGAAAAGAACTTCTATGGTCTGTGGGAGCCGCAGTGCTGAGGTTGGATGGACTCACTGGGGTATATGTAGATCTGGAAATGGAGACTATTTAGCTTCATCCATTTAACAGTAAACAGATACTCCCCGGAGTAAATGGTCTAGAGCCTATCTAGACTCACTTAACAGTCCAACAGTATGTCACTGCTCACTTTTTTTGAGTGGGCTGAGGGGTCTTAAGCAAGCTGCGTGACTTCTGCTGTGCAGCAACCGACGTTCGTAGGCCAGTCGGTTTAAAGCTTTGGCGACGCAACCCTTCGATAGGTACAACTTCGGACATTATTGAAGCGATGTTCTTCGGCCCGAAGTCATGCGCCTTTGAAAGACAGCTCAGTTGATCGGATAAGTTTCCTTTATGATGAGTTGTTGGGTGTTGTTTGTCGTGAGGGGAAGCTTCGTGGCACTCCTATTTCTATATCTATTCACTCCGCCAATGTAAAAACAACAGAACTTCCCCTCTTTTCGCTATCCCAAACCTGAAGGCATTGTGAACTTTCAACCTCCTACTTCAGCTAGCATCCTCCCTATTTCTGAGTGAACATCAAGATGGCTGCGATTCAAACTGGCTTAGATGTTCTCCGCAGGAGAACCATCGTCGACTGCGACACAATGGATGAACAAGGTACCTATACCAGACTGCCCCAGCGAGATGCTTGACTCAGTCTCTGAAGGGCTGTCTATTAACAAATAACCAGTTGCCAGAGACTTGGGTCCGTTCCAAGACTGTACTTCAAACCAGGTAGGTTGCACCTGTCATGGTCCAGTCTCACAAAGTCCCATATTGATCAGGAGTATGAGCTGATTTGGAAAACTTGTAACGAAGGCCATCGCGTACGGCGAACTGTCGAAGCCAGAACACATCGAATTGATCCGCAAATCCATCTCAGATGCCAAGGATCTTTTGCTCAGATTCACTGGAATCACGCTGGAGGAGCTGGCTGTTGAGATTGCGGTAGGCACAGTTTTGCTATAGTACTGAAGGTGCTAAGTAATTGACAATGATATACAGATGGTTAGATTAGCCTTGAAAATAGCTCCTCATATCCATGGACATGTTCATGTTCAGACGAACCCTTACTACTCTTACTCCACTGAAAGCACAATTGTGAACGCTTTGAGTATGTTAACGCTTTCTCTGATTGAGTTCCGCTAATGAAGCATTTCTGCCACAGGAATTGTCCAGCTCTTCCAACACCTGCAACCAGGTTTTGAGCAATCTCGCATCTGCATCAAAATTCCGAGTACATGGGACGGCATGATGGCTTGCCGAGCTCTTGAGATGGCCAGTGTGCGAACGCTAGCCACGACGCTCTTCACAATGTCCCAGGCCGTCTTGGCGGCGGAGGTTGGATGCACGTATATAGCCCCTTATGTCAATCAGTTAAAAGTCCACTTCGAGCCAGGGTGAGCTCGACATCTCCAGCGAATTGATTGACTTGTTCCGAGCAAGATAGCACTGACAGATCGCCAGATTCACGGATCCAAACAAGCTCTTGCCTCTCTGTGTTTCAATTCAGAAGCATTACAAGTCCATCAATGCAAAAACAAAGGTCCTGCCAGCTAGCTTGACATCCACAAACGAGATATATGCCCTGGCAGGAGTCGACCATATCACAATCGCGCCAGATCTCCTGAAACAGCTTTCGCAACCCAGCTCTGCACGTCAGATGGAGTCTCTTTTTGATTCTGATGTTCCATCAGCTATCTCTGTTTCAGAACAGTCATTTGTTAACGACGAATCCGCTTACAGGATTGCCTTCACACGGGACCTGCACGGAGCAAGCGAAGAGAAACTCACACAGGCAAGTTGGGATGAAGTATGACACAGCGTTGGGAAGACTGGACGACTGACAGAACTGCAGGCAATCAATATTTTCTGCGACATGCAAGATAAACTTGTGCAGCTCATGAAATCAAACATGGATTAGATACGAGAGTAATTTTAAGCTCCGCATGAGCCAGACGTCAACTGGGAGACGGAGTATAAGAAGGACGGCAGAAAATACATTCATAAGCGTAAGACAAATGTTTGTACAGGACAGATCAATAAAATGCAAGTCTGTGCAATTCTCTGGAGTCTTGACAAGAAAAAAAAAAAAAAAAAAAATATCTGGGTATCAAGGAAAAAGATAGGTGGAGAAGTAATTCAGACTGGGATCAACAAAAAGATGAGAGTCGTAAGTCCCATCGACTGACTTCTAAACTCTAAGTTCTGGTCAGAAAAAGATATAGGAACAAAGAAATGGCACGAACCCAGAATTTTCAGGTTGAATAGACTCGGCAAAGCTTCTGGTTGTTCCATGAGCGTCGCCGTGAAGCTTCTTCATGGGAACGAACTCGAGTCTTTGAACGGCCAGAACTCGTAATTGAAGGGAATGAGTTACTGTGTTGGCGCATAAGGCCCACACACTCAACATGGCTAGAAAAAGTTCAATTTGCGTCTTGCAGCACCATCCTTTGGTGGCTCCTCGTTTGACACCCCTTCAGCAGGGACAACGGGATCCTTAGATCGAGACTTCTCCGCCTGCTGCTTCTGCCCTTGCTCAGGCGTCGCTGGACGATTGGATTCCGAGCCTGAGTTCTTCCGATGCCAGAGAGAATCTTCCTCCTCGATCTCGCGAAGAACTGTGGGACGAGAGAAATGTCAGTCCTCGAAAAAAGCCATGTATGAAGCGACCAGGGATCGGCACCTTCTTCCCATTCTCTCTCCTTTGCCTCATCTCCGGTGCCGAGCAATTTCTCTACATCCACTTTCTCCCCCCTTTGTATTTTCTCAATCACCTCCCGGAGAAGTCGAATCTTTGCGTCGGTTGAACGGGTATATGCATTATATTCGTTCTTCAAAGATATCATTCGGATGGCTTGCGACCCAATCAAGATGAATATGACGATGTAGAAACTAGCGGGATTCCATTCTTTCGATTTAGCCGGGGAAGTTTCCGCTTTGGCGCGCCGATTCCGGATGAACTTGGGGATCATGGACTGCCATAGCGATGGTTGAGCGATCTTCGGCATATGCCCCGAAGTGGAATACTGGCAGTGTCGCGATGAGACTGGGAGGCGAAGACTCCTCAGCGTCCGGGGAACCGGTAGACCACGAGCCATATGGTATAGACGAGTTGTAGACATGTCGATGATGCAGAATGTGTTTCCGGCTGTGACACTTGGACTACGAAGTTGAGATCGGCCAAAAAGGCCTTTGGATCGGAGAGTCGGGGAACGGATGGCGCTATGCCTCTGTGGGAGTAGTGTGTGTCTGTTGCTGCGACAACCACCGCTTGAGGCTTGGCCCGACTCTGAGAGACATCGATGGAGTTGACATGAGCTCCGCAGCCTCAATGCGTCTATGGCCGTAACTCATGGTCACATCTAACATCGCAGCACTTCAACTGACTACATATCGATATGGCAGTCGCAACATTACTTCCCGAGTCCTCATTGGATTCGGTGAAGCAAGCCGTGCGCTCAACCTCAACATGCTGTAATGCCACAGTGTTGTCCCTCCAATCTCTTTTTCGCGGTTCACTGAAACCGGTCCCCGACGTCGAGAGCGAATCTATGAAAAAAACGAGTCGGATGAAGAAGGCTGTGCCTGCATCCTCAGTACGGAGTAGAGCGACAACTAAAACAAAGGTCTCAGCCAAGGGTGCAACAACAATTGCTGCGATCGAACATGATGCAGCGCGATTGTCCTGTCAGGAAAAGGTTTCACTGGCAACAGAGATCTTTAATACAACATTGAAGACACTTGCAGATGCATCAAAGTCATCAGAACATCGTGTACCGACTACGCCTCTTCACCCAGCTTCACCGAATCGCGTTGCAAAACCGGCGAGCAGATCGAAGACACCACAACGTGCACAGCTGAGTGCAGCCAACATTGATGGCGGCCTGCTCGCAGTCGCTGAGTGCGCTAGTTTGGCACTTGCCTGCTTGAGGAATATGAAAGCTGAACAGAGCGGCCAGGGAAACGGGCCGCTTAATGTGCAACTCGAACAAGGCGCATGTGTCTTAGCAGGGAGATATTTATCACTGGGACTGAATGACTTGGCCTACAAAGAACTACGGGGCCTTAAGAGGAGGATTCAACAATACTTGGATAGCCAGGACATCGGCAAAGACGCCACTATCGGACGGAAGGACCAGCGAAGCGCGGAGGAAGAAGCTATCAAGGAACGCATGTCCGATCTCATATCCTTTGAGAACCTGTCTCACGCTCGATCTTTGCACAGCTTGATTATTACCTTCCAATCGAACGCCCTTCGACTCATAGCTGCGGAGAAACGAGCCCCGACAGTGCAAAAAGTCATGGCTTCCTTGCAGTTGACAAATCCAAGCAGCCCAGCGAATCTGATCACTGCAGCGGTTGATTCGCAGACGATGACACGGGACAAGGCGGCATTGCAGCTTCAATTGCTATCTAACACGATAATGTCTATGTGCTCCGCAACACAGAAGCCAAACAGTAGCAACGTCTCCAAAGAATCACTGAGACCGATAACGTCCTTGACCCTTCAGCTATTATCGCTTGAGATTCGGTGCATGAGTTGGAAATTGTCCGGTCATGTCTGCGACGATGTGAAAGAGATGTGGGAGCCGCTGGCGCGTTATTTGGCGGCTTTCGTCAACCATTTCAAAGGTATCGAGAAGGCTGAATTCGCTTCAACATACAAAACAATCGTCCGACTGCAGGTAGCTGTCGCTGCCTCACAAAAGCGATCTCCACCGAATTTGAGAAGCAATCTTTCGGTAGCCCGGATAGCAACCATCCTCGGACAACTTGCTCAAGAAGCAGGCTGTTTCGAGGAGGCATCGACCCTTTTCACGGAGGCTCTCAATCCTTTGGCGGCCGAAAATCTGCTTTCATCAGCCACTGTACGATGCAAACTCGCGGCACTTCACTTGCAGGCTTCGAAAAGCTCGACCAAAATGCGTCAACCGAGCTTGTCCATTTCTCTCTCTGAAGTTACTGCAGCCCTTGGTACTCCTCTAAGGGGGAATGAGAATGACTTAGATGAGCTGCTAGTCGAAGCAGCGAAGCTGAAGAAGATCGCAATGGGCTGGTTAGGGGAGAAGGTGGCCAAAGAACATGATGCTACTGACGAGGAAAGGGAGATTTTCTCAAAGATTTGCGCATATTTGAACGGATTTGTGAGGTTCCTAAGACGATATCTTGGGAAGAAACCTCATGCAGATGAGGACCAAAAGGACTTCGAGGTATTTCACAAGCGGCTCGAAACTTGTAGAAGCATCGTGCTGGCTGCGGTAGATTCAGCTCTCGCAATTGGGAAATTGTCCGTCATGTCGCAGAGCCCTTCTTGGGAGTCTCTGCTTTCAACATTTTCCGACTGCCAACGCCTCCTGGTGGCGATCGAATGCACAGCGGAAGGGAAGCAGGAGCGATCAGACGGGAACGAGAGTGGCATGGGATTTGTGAAACTGTCCAATCTGTTCTGGTCTCGGTATATCAAGGACAAGGAGTCCGGGAAAGGCTATCGCGAGCTCATGCATGCTTTGAGACAATCGATCAACTTTCTCTCGAATTGCTCGCCGGCTCAACGAAGAGCAGGATTCGCAGCATTAAAGTACGAAAGACTCGCTCATTTATACCTCGAAGCGAACATGGGCGTTGAATCTGCAGAAGCATTCAGAGATTCGCTCAACGAGCATATTAGTACAGGGGTCTTAGAGCAACTCCTATCGAATACCGTCAGGGTCCCTCCGCACCGGGCCTGTCAAGACCCGAAGAGCAACAGCTTTACTTTCAACCGCATACTTTCTGCATTTTTGAGGATGAATTTGCGTCGCCGGGATTTGATCCATGTCAAGTTCTTCGATTGCTATACCGTTGAGTCCTTACAGAGGGGCCTTCTTCTGGAATGGCAGCTCGGTATTCTGAGCGAATTACCATCTCAGGCTCATAATGACGAGGGCTTCCGTTCGGCCTTTGATACGCTACTTAATGCAATCTTGGAAGTATACTCTCCTGAATCGCGGCCAATCCGTCGTCTACGGGTCATCTTGATGGGGTTGCGCTTCTCCTTGGAGCACTCAGGTTCACTAGAATTGCCAACTATCCATCGACTTGTCGAGGAAAGCGTCAAATGTCTCGACAACGCTTTAGAAGTTGGCAGTGATACTGATATGGAACTCTACGCGACACACTTGAAGAATTCAGTTTGTCTCACCCTAGGTCTTCATGAGGGCGACCTACGCTCAGACAAATTGAACCGGATACTATGCTCGTGGAGTGCAATGATGCTCAAATGTCCAGACAAAGACACCCTTTTTTCGTGCGTTGACGATGTGGACTATTACCTTCTCCAGGTCAAAGCCATTGTAGATTACACGGAGATTTACGGACTCTGGAAACTCCAGCTCATCGCTCTTGAGCTGGTCCTACGCATCACGGAGGTCCAAGGGTCGAGAGATTTTTCTGAAGCCATCATCATATTGTCACGTTTGGTTTTGCAGTATTGTCGCTTAGGACACTGCAAGAAGGCTGAAGCTCTTCTTGCGCGCGCGGATCGATATCAGAACGAGAATGGAGTCTCTTGCCTGGCAACTTTATCATACCGACTTGCTCAAGTGGAATACCTACTCGAGACTGGAGAACCGGAGAAGGCAGCAGGCATTCTTTCGACGTCAAGGCTTCTGTACGAAAAGAATCACAAGAAGGAGGACCTGATCAACGGCTCTATTTTATCCAAGATAGCATGGGAAAGATTGGTGGCGGATGCAGTTCTCATGAGTTCGCGGCTTTCGTTCGCCCAAGGCTCTGTGACGCAGGCTCTTTTCTTTGCCAAGTTATGCGTCAAATTGAACTGCCGGGTCTGGGCGAAGGTCGAAAGGATATCCCAAAGGAAGCAGGAAAAATCGCTGCCTGCAAGCCGCAGCTCCGATCTTGAGAATGTTGTTGATGGAGTGGCAAGGCTCGATGTTTCCCAGTCGGTCTCAACGACAAATCATACCGTCAGTTACTCTCAGGGAGCTCCGTTTTGGCCCCATGTTGGCTCGCATCATACTGCTCTCTTGAATCTTGCATATTTTTCTGCCCATTATGGGCTGTTTCAGGACGCTGTCTACTACGGGGAGCAAGCCCTCAAGATCAACAGGACACTTAATGCGAACGTCCGCTTGATTGCCTCCCAAGCTCAGCTAGGCTCCTATTGGATCTTTGGTGGGCGTCTCTCTGAAGGCCAAGAGCTTCTAGCAGCTGCAGAACAACTGTCTAAAAAATTGGAAAGCAGTGTTGAGCTCGCTTCGCTGCAGATGAGCATTGCCTCTCTGCACAGATTGCAGGGCAACTACCACGACGAATGGCAAGCTCTCCTAAGGGCGGACCGGATAATGGCCGACGTGATAGCCCTGGAGACAGCCGAACCACTTCCTCTACAGTCGACAATGTCTGAGCTGGAAGATGGAATGGACAAACTACGGATTCGGGGGAGTACCAGGAGAACACAACCAACTACAACAACAGCCCGGAGAACTCGTGCGACTACTGTATCCTCAAGGACAGCGCCGAAGCTGTCGACTGGCAAACCGGACGCAAATGGAACAATGTCGCAGTCTGTCTCGCACCTTAGAAGTGGCATTCTCCAACAGCAGGCAGCATGTTCGCGTGCGCTAAGAGAGTTTGAGAAAGCCTCGCGTCTGTTGACTGACGCGCGGAAGTTTGCTACATCTCGAGACAGTCAAATAGCGTTGCACCTGAAAGAAAGTGAACATTACCTTGCTGAGGCCATACGGCAATTCGCGTCGCATGCGGTCTACTGTGTTCTGCCAGAATCGACAATATCCCTTCCTGCTTTACAATCGCCGAGGAAGGTAACCAGCGAGACGACTTCTTCCACTAAACAGTCCACTACACGTAAGTCACGAGCACCTGCCAGAGGAACGCGGTCCAAACACGCGAAAGCAAGCGAAGATTTCACCGATATTTTGTCCAAGGCTGGTGATTGTCTGAACAACGTATTTTCGGCTGCGACGGCTCTGGGATCAACTTTGGACAGCCATATGGCGTCCCGGCTGATGAGTCATATTTCAATGTTGTCCCATACGACTGCGCCTGGGAGTCCAATGCCATGGTCTCAACCGCCAGCGAATGTGAATGGTAGGTGTTGCCCTCATTGTTACTACGGGTTAGATCACTGACTGACCTGTCAGAAATTGGCCGCATCGGCGCCTTTACGCGCGAGCGAATCGCTATTGGTATTGACAAGCAACTCTCGGACTTCACTGATCCGCTTCTTTGGCCAGCTCAGTGCTCTACAGCAGAACCAGAGGCAGACTTATGCAGCGCCTTTACTGAAGAATATATAGATATTCTTCCCTCTAAGTGGAATGTACTTTCCTTGTCCCTCAGCGCCGACTGTACGGAATTCATTATCTCTCGGCTACGCAAGGATCACTCGCCCTTCCTCCTTCGACTTCCTTTGAAGAGAGGAAATGCCGAAGACGACGAGGATCAGTTCACATTCGATGACGGAAGAGGAGAGATGCAGGAAATTATCAAGCTGGCAAACGAAAGTGCGCATGCAGCGAAGTTGCAGAAGGACCGACACTCCAAGAAGGAGTGGTGGAGAAACCGCGAGGCGCTGGACCAGCGCCTGCAGAACTTGCTGCAGAACATTGAGAACGTCTGGTTTGGTGGTTTCCGGGGAATCTTCTCACCGATGGCTCACGAAGAGGCTGCCCTCTCGCGGTTCGCAACGTCGTTTCAGAATATCCTAGACAAGCACCTCCCTTCCAGACAAAAAGGCGGCCGTGCCGCAACTCCGAGGCTGTCATTACATCGCAATGTCTTGGAGTTGTTCGTTGGCGTCCAGGACCTAGAAGGCCAGGAAGACCCTGAGGAGACATTGATGGATCTTTTGTACTTTGTGGTCGACATCTTGCAATTTCAGGGGGAACGCAATGCATATGACGAAATCGACTTTGATATGATGGTGGTCGAGACGCTTGATGCTGTGCGAGGCTACCATGAAGCGGCAAGCCGCTTACGAGAACGACAGCAACCGCATCATACTGTCTTGGTCCTAGATAAGGCACTACACCTGTTCCCGTGGGAATCACTTCCATGTTTGCAAGGATTGCCAGTATCGCGTGTCCCATCCTTGGAATGTCTGCGTGAGCGGATACTCCACTTTGAGAACAGCAAAGTAAAGGGCAGCGACTGCCGATTTGCTATTGACCGTGGAAGTGGTACATATATTCTCAACCCTACAGGAGATCTTCAGACAACACAAACCACTTTCGAGGCGGATCTTGGCCGCTTGGATTCTTGGACGGGGATCGCCAAGCGAGAGCCGACCGAAGAGGAGTTCAAAGATGGCTTGGAATCCAAGAGCCTATTTTTGTATTTTGGCCATGGGAGTGGCGCACAGTATATCCGTGGAAGGACCATCAAACGTCTGGACCGATGTGCAGTTACATTCCTCATGGGATGTAGCAGTGGCACACTGACCGAAGCGGGCGAATACGAGCCATACGGGACCCCAATGAATTACTTGCATGCAGGCTGTCCCGCCCTCGTCGCGACCCTGTGGGATGTGACAGACAAAGATATTGATCGCTTCGCCAAGTCTACGTTCGAGAAATGGGGACTTATCGGAGAACGGGATACCAGGGACCAAAGAACGACGCTTCCGAGTAAGGGAAGGTCCCGATCGGCTAAAACGAGCGGCACTGAATCTTCGGACCCAGTGACGCTGGATGAAGCAGTATCCAAGTCACGAAGTGCCTGTGTGTTGAAGTACCTGAATGGCGCGGCGCCCGTCATCTACGGCATTCCTTCGGTGTTTTTGGAATAGACATGTACATTGTGTGTTTTGGTGTTGGCGTTTGCTCAGGTGAGGATGATCTGTTTTGTGCATTGTCGGAGTCTTGGAAACTAGATCATGGTGGATGTCTCGGTTAGTGCATTGATTATTGGCATTGTGCATTTCCATTGATGTGTGTTGTATACCTATTTGAGTTGTAAAGTTCATGTCCTTAAAGGGAAATGTTTTCCGAAATATCCACGGTGTGTTTATCATTCGTCTGAGGACTTCGTATTTACTTTCTGCTAAGAAGATATGAGACCGTTGAGTGGAGAAAGCTATTGTAGTAGAGTACCGAGTACTCCGTACAACGACCATCTCCATCTGACGTTGAAAAGGTGGTGGGGAGAAGGCAGGAGAATGATGAAATTGCTGCCCCTCACGATTCCCCTCATTCCCCTCCCCCTCCCACCCCGTCACAAAAACCATCCGCTCCATCTCGTTGTTCTCCCATTAGCATCTTCCAGCTTGACAGTCTCCCGCAGATACCAGTTGAGATCAAGATCACAGCACCATGTCTGTCACCACAAAAGCCACAATCGCCTCCTTTGGCGGCACGCTGCTGAAGCTGAGCCATGCCGCCACCTCGACAAAATGCGAGATGAATTTCAACCTCTACCTGCCCCCACAGGCCTCCCAGAACCCATCCCAGAAGATCCCCGTCCTCATATTCCTGTCCGGTCTCACCTGCACGGCCGACAATTGCTCCGAGAAGGGCTTCTTCCAGCACGGTGCAAGCAAGAAAGGCATCGCGGTGCTGTACCCGGACACCAGCCCTCGTACGTCACAGCAATCACAGCTCCGCACCCCGTCAAGGATAACACACATATTGACGCACCGAGAACAGGTGGCCTGAACATCGAAGGCGAAAACGACTCGTGGGACTTCGGCACGGGCGCCGGCTTCTACGTCGACGCGACAAAGGCCCCCTACAACACCGGCTACAACATGTACACCTACGTCACCGAGGAACTACCCAAGACGGTCTTTGCGGCGTTCCCGCAGCTCGACTCGAGCAGGGTCAGTATCACGGGACACAGTATGGGCGGCCACGGTGCGCTGACGCTGGTACGTTGCCCCTGTTCACGAACAAATGACATGGGAGGGAAGTTGGGAGTAGGAGGCTGACAAAGTGCCGTGCTGTGATAGTTCCTCCGTAACCCTGGCAAATACAAATCCGTATCTGCCTTCGCGCCCATCGCGAACCCCATCAACTGCCCCTGGGGCCAGAAGGCGTTCGCGGGCTACTTCGGCGAAGACCGGAAAGAGAAATGGGTGGAGCACGATGCCACCGAGCTGGTGAAGAAGTGGAAGGGGCCGTTGGATGTCCTTATTGACGTGGTACGTGTCTTTTTGTAAATTTGCCTTTCTTGTATGGAGCGAATCTGACAGGTTGGCGCAGGGTACTAGCGACCCCTTCTACAAGCAGGGCCAGCTTCTCCCTGAGAACTTTGAGAAGGCCGCCAAGGAGGCTGGCGTCGAGGGCGTCAATGTCCGCTACCAGTCTGATTACGACCATAGTTACTACACCATAGCTACGTTCTCTGAGGACCATGTCGAGCATGCCGCCAAGTATCTCTTTGTTTAGTGGGTCTCCCCTTGATAATTTGTGATCATCTTGTGCAGCAGAGCATGGAAAGCTATCCAAGTACTTCGTTTGAAGGCCGCTGTCGCTGTGGATGCTGAAGTGTTCTGGCTATCTGTACATGTTGTGGCATTCTCTGATGATGATGAGTGATAAAAGTGAGCGTCGGGCGCCGAAGTCATATATATAAAGGTTACTTAGTAGGCTGGCGGGTACAATCAACTTGCAAAGAGCAACAATCCTATCCAATACTCGGCATCTAATATCTATCTGTCCACAGAATAGAATGCGCAATGCAAAATCATATTCTTGATGTTGTATCTCATATTTTTCATGATTTATCATAAAATCTCAAGACCGTACATACGTAAACCCTTGTTGATAGGTATCCATCCTCGGCTGACCACCGAAAATCGGCCATGAGACGGATAAATGAGTCGATAGATCGCATGATACCGACAACTCCACCTGGCCAGTATGCCCCAGTCATAGAACCCATCCGAGACCGCCATTCCACGTAACCAAAACCCAGCCAAAACCCAGGTCCTTGCCTCGTACCAGCAGCGGTCATCCTGACCATCCGGCTGTCTCCGTTTTTCTGCTTTGCCTCAGTAGGAAGGTTGTCTCCTTTTTGTCCAACTCGTCGCTTCCGAACAAATCGAGATGACAAAGAACGCTGTATATCAACGCCTAATCATGCAAACGAATGCCTCACCAACTATATACTTTTCTGTACCCGTGGTGTAGCGAAGTCATGACAGTGGGAAGCGCATGCCGGGCGACAGACCAATCAGTGTTTTAAAAGACCACATGAGAACATCAGTCATCAAACCAAACTGTGGGGGAATCTAAAAGGAAGTGAAAGACTCTGAGGGATGCTGAAGAGTAGGGGGGAATAGAAAGATGAAAAGGAAGAAATAGAGATGATCACGTTCGAGGTACAATCATAGCTTTATCATGCGCTCAATCGCTGGATAAAAGACTGTGCCAGTCCAACATTAGCCATTCAAATCAAGATCGAGAGAGAATGATTGAAGTTCAAAAGACGTACCGGAAAGAATTGCCGGAACCCCTTCAAGTCCAGCCGGCTCAAAGCACCCACAAACTCGTCAATCAATTCTGCACCCATGCCCATGCCGGGCAGTTCACGGTCGCGGAGATACGCGAGGTACTCCATGCCTGTTTTGGAGTATATCGTACGCTGTAGCCCGCCAGCTTCGGCAAGAACCTGCTTGGCTTGCGCATCCTTGGAGTTGAAGGAAGGTGTGGCGGGCAGCGCCCAGCATAACGGCGAGAATCGTGTAATCATGAATTGGCCAAAACCGGGCAGCGGAGCCTGCGCTGGAGGGGCTCCGTTGGAAGCTTCCGGGGTGATGTCCGGACCACCCCACGAGCTACCCATCTTAGAAAGGACAGAGAAGGCCATCTTCGCTGTGGTAAAGTCATCGACGTCTTTGGAAAAATGCTCGATAGTGGAGATGACGGTCTCAAAGATGGGTTGATTTCCTGGGACTGGGTTAGCTTACGCTGGGAAAAGGACTGACTGCTGGTGACAGATAAGAACTCACTCTCACTGATGATGACAGCACCCAAGTCATTGTTCAGAACGGCCAGCAAGAAATTCAGGTACTCCCGTTTCAGCTCAGCCAGTTGAATCTCATCGTCCGTGCCGGTTGTGGGATCGGCGATTCCGGAGAACACTCGTTGCAGGAAGGGCGTTAGTAGTGTGTCAAGAATGGAATAGATTTCGCCCTTGAATCCAAAAATGACCTGATCCAGGAGACGTAGGAACAGGGCCATCTCATCGCGCGAAGAAGTCTGAGTAAGAAGGCCGTCAATCCACCTTGGCAACTGAGGCAGAATCCGAGAGCCGAGGACGCCGATGAGCCTCGAGAACGCAAACCGGGCAGCTGTTCGAACGTTGAATGAGGACTTGAGAGATTCCAAGGCAACTAGCGTGGCTTCCGACACCTGATTGAAGGCTTCTGAGACTTCGGGTGCTGGTAGAGTAGCGGGAGTGTTCGTTCCAGGCATCCAATCTGAGAATCCCCGAGCAAGGGTCCCCAGTGCCATGATATCGTGATGAATCTGTAGAATGGCTCGTTCATCATGTGATTTCGCCGCTTCCAGGTTCTTCTCCATGTCGAGGAATATCGGGTTGAGCACTGACTGCGCATAAAGGACCTGTTTATCAGCTGAGACAGTGGGCGTCGAACAGATGATACCGACAGCTTCGAAAAGATACAGCTGGCTGTTAAAGATGGCGTCGGCTAACCCTTCGTGGTCCTCCGAAGACATCTCATCACCGTCAGATCCCTCCGAAGGTAGTTCAGCGTGTATTACCAGAAGATCGCCAAGAGCTTCCACAACGGTTTGCGCGACGTTACCGACGTACTGTCTGAGTTGCTTCACCAGGCGCTGGAAAAGGTACCAAGAACGAGTCTTCACCTTCTTGACAGGGTGGTGAACCAGTTGAAGAAAGCTCTCCAACACACCTGGAATTAGATGGGTATGGTGCTGGAAGAATGAGCTATAGCGCACGCAAATCTCCATATACTGTAATTGCGTCGCCGGATGCGTGAATGAACGAATGTCTAAACGTCGTTAGCCCATTTATCAAGATCTTTCCCTCGATATACCTACCAGACTCGACCATCCTCAACATCATTTCGACGAGCCTTTCGGCAGCCTGGTTGTTGGGATTACCCTTGGTGTAGAGACTTCCCGCCTTGACTGCGAGATCTCCAAACAAGAACATTTCGTGCAATGCAAGGTCCAGGTCACGCCAGTCCATTTGGGATCCCGACTGCCGCAGGTTCTCAAAGGTCGTTGCCACCACCTCCGACACAGCCTCCATGTACAGTTGTTCATTGACTGAAGCAATCATCTGCTGAAGAACACCAAGTCTCTTGCGAAGTTCTTGGAATTCTGCCTCGTCCGTCTGCTCATCTTCCTCGCCCCAAGAGGAGGTTTCGTCGTATCGCATCTTGGCAATGATAGCCTTCAGGATCGGAAGGAGGATCGAAGAATGCTGGGCAGCAAGGGCGGGGTTGACTTTGGCGATTCTTCTTAGATATGTCAAGAGGTCGCTGACGCAGGGAATGACTGTTGAGCAGACCTCGTCATATTCATCGGAGAAGTATCTCAGGATATGTGGCAGGAAAACCTGAAGCAACCCATTGGCTTTCTCCTTGCACTCAGCCGAAACGCCTTCCTGTTCCAATGCCCGTACAATATCAATGACGGTGATATTGACTAACTTGGCGACAGCTTCCGCCAGATCGGTGTCATACTTGAAGGTGAACCTATTTCCGTGCAGAGGAGGGCTATTCGAGAGTTGGGAAACAATAGTATCGAGATTCAGGAAGATTATCATGTCGATCTTGTCCTCCGGTTTCATCTTCTTGCCGATGATCTCCGTGAAGACATCGACCGCCGCATCCCGCACCTTCTCTTCCCCTTGCCTCAGATCCGCTTTCTGCGCCCGGCCCAGCTGCTGGAACAAAAGATCAAGCATTGTCTGGTTTACCACAAGACCGATATCAATCCAGCTGACCCAGCTGCCGACAGCCTTCAAGCACATCTCCACAATTACGTCGTTGCCATCCCGCCATTCCGACAAAATCTGTTGCCACGAGCTGGTGATCTTCTGCATATCCCTCTGCCTAATGAGGTCCTTGAGCGCATTCGCCTTGTCCTGTTCATTGCGGGATCGTGAGACCAAAACATCACCGATCTCGTCGTGAATAGAGTTGATGACTCGGAGGTAGAAGATGATTCCGGACGCATTGTCGCGTGTCGTGCTCGAGGCGCTTTTGTGGGTCAGGCTGAGCAGATCATCAAAGAATGATTCCCACCCGCTAGCGTAGAGTGCAGAGAAGAGAAAGGTGATGGTTTGGGCGATTTTGTTCTGGATGTTTGGGGGGTCGGATGCTCCTGCGTCCTGTCCGTACACCTGCCGGAGATATGCCAACAGGCCATCCTTGACGAAGGCTAGGGCCTGCAGGTCTATCAAACCACCCTGTGCGGCGCTATTGACCACTTCCAGAGCCACATGCCTCACGATACCCGAGCGCTGGGGAGTTTGTGTGAACAGTGAAAGGCAGACCTGCCATCCCGACGGGTCGGAGCGAAGTTGATTCACGAATTCGAACGCTTGCGTCTTAAGGGCTGGGTCTGAGGACGGATTCGAGGCGATTTCAATTGCATTTGCTACCTAGTTAGGCGGTACACTGTTAGGCTCATCTCATCCGTAGAATCATCCTTGCTCTTGAAGTAAATAGACATCGGGGAGGTTACGGAGGGGCACACGAGGGGAGGGGTGG